GGTGGCTGAGTCCCCATCCCTGGAGGTGTTTAAAAAAAGTGTAGATGTGGCACTTCGGGATGTGGTTTAGTAGGCATGGTGGTGTTGGGCGGATGGTTGGACTTGATGATCTTAGAGGTCTTTTCCAACCTGTGATTCTATGATTCTATGAAGCGCAGTTTCCTTGAGGTCTCTCCATATGGTACTGCTGACCTTCTCCCAACACTCAGCTGTTGGTGAGCAGTGACAGGTGTCTGGGGTCCTGCAGCTTCGTTTCCTACGAGGAGCAAGCAGTGAGGAAAAATCTGGGTATATTCTTCTGTTACTTGCATGTGCTCATATATGTTGATTTGGGAAGGAGACAGCCAGAAGCCAAGCAAGAAAGTCCCTTCTCGAGACTTCTCCTGCCAAGCTGCTGGTTCCTGAGGAGCAGTTCGGTTCCTGAATCGGCTGCGTGCAGACTTTACGTCAGGAAGTAAGCTCCCTGCTGCCGGATAGCTCATCTGTCCACAAAGCTGCCTGTACTCCCAAAGTCAGGCGAAACACTGCATCTTTAAAAAAAAAAAGACTTGTTTGACAAACAATGTTTGAAAGGGCATGGGGAGCAGCACCGCCGAGTGACACCTGTGTCGCTCTCTGCCTGGCAAAGTGTCTTGCCCAAGTCATCTGCAGCATTTGGTGGTTTGCAGAATTTCGCTGATGCTCAAATGCCTTTGAGGATATTATTAAGAGAGGTGCTAGAGCAGCATGTGGTGTTTGAGGACATGGCTACTCATCTCAGTGCCATGGCTGCTGGGGCGCCAGTGCGGTGGCACTGCAGTGGCTGGTCACGCCTGGGGTCTGAGGTGCCTGCTGCAGTTGTCCTGCACAAACCCTCTGGCTCGAAGCTGGTTTGGGTATGAGCTGCAGTCACATCTTTGGCAGTAATGCCAATATACCACAGGTTGTAGGGGCAGTTCTCTTTCCTTACCTTCAGTGTTTTGTCCTCAAAGTAAAGCGTCAGTTCTCCTGAGGTGTTTTGTGACTTAAGGTTCACCGAGGGCTAGATTCATGCTGATAACAAGGTCTGTCAGATCACTGACCCTCCCCTTCCCCCTTTCAGCAAATTTGCCAGAGGACAGGAAAGCATCTCACTTAGCCACGTAATTATAAAGCAGTTTGTTATATATGGATCTTTACGCTCATGTGTGTACAGAATATGTATCTTGCAATCAACTGCAAAAAACATTGAATAATCTGTGGCAATCATACATCCTTAATTGCATTCAGCCTGCTGATCTACATTCAGCTCATCAATTCACCTAAGCTGTCACAGGGAATCTTGTATATGTTCTAGGGAAAAGCGAATTTACACCCCCCAAGTGTACCTATCCCTGAAACTCCTTCCCCAGAAACTATCATTAAGAGATGTTAGCCGTGTACATATGAAGGTTTTTATGCCCTAATATTTTTAACATACCTAAATTAGAATTGTAAGCAAAAAGCTTTATTTCTGAGGGAAAGACATGGTTATTAGGAAGTCTTGCACATCTGGTGCTAAGTTAATATCCATCCAAAATGAAGTAGTAATTATGCATAAGTATAGGCATATATGCACGTGGTGTTAACCTAAATTCACATATGCAGAGGTAACAGCTGTTCATATATGGAGGAGCCTTATATGGCTCTGTAACTACACATAGAAATAGTTGTACACCTACATTCATACACGGCTATATCATCATAATGAATGACACTACATGTATTTTACAGTCCTGGGAACAATCTTTATTCTGGCAGTTCTTAAACAGGAGCTCCACTGAAGTCGCAGGGAATTAAAGATACGCCTGATGTTATTCTTCTGCTCAAGCACTGGCATACGCCGGGATCGCTTCACACGTGTTGGAGCGCTTTCCTGAATCCTTGCCTCAAGGCCACCGTGCAGAAGTGTACGTGAGCCTTCTGCGCACTGAAATCGCAGGAGCGATAACAGCCATCAGGGCTGCAGCTGTAGGCTGTGGGTTTGCTCTGCACGGGCGAGAAATGTAAACAGGAAAACCCCGTAGCCCTTACTCCGTTGGATCTCCCACTGATCTGAAACGTGGGGTTGATGGAGCAAGGACCGAGAGATTTGGCTCAGAGGAGCTGCTGCAAGGTTTCTCTCTCTGACAACTAACAGCAGGGCTGCAGCCTGCTGACCCACTTTGTGCTGGAGCAACCCCTAACTTGCAGCCGTCGGAGACCCAATTTAGGCCAGCTATTCTAATTTACTGTCTTTCCCTCTCTTTCTCCATTTGTTAACCTTAACATGCCTTTTTTCAGTTCCTCGGAGATGTAGTGCCAGCGGAATACTCATGTGTAGAAGAAATTGCTTTTGAGATACAGAACACAGCTAATTACGGCGCTACAATTAGCTGAATGCCCTTAACAGAGTCCGGGGGGGGGAAATCATAGTGCAGCATCTGCTATACCATATGCTTTTCTAGTTTCCAGAAGATAACAGTGGGCATGTATGCTGCCGTGGATTGTGCTTTCTGCCTGAAGAGCACGGCAGCCCGCAGATGCTCCAGTATTTCTTCCACCCGAACTTCGTTAGAAATGTCTGGTGCTGCATACATCTGTCATGATGAGTTATGCTTTCTTGGCTTCAGCCTCCTCCATGCAGACAGACTTATAATGATGCAATGGTAATTCATATGCCATTGTTCCTGAGTGCATACTTCATCCTAAGGGTGGATGTCGTACTGGGAACGGTGTCGAGGTAGCAGGCAGCATGGCATCGCCTGAGCTTGTGCTCAGCTCTGAGGTGCTTCTCATTGTTCACTGAATTACTGTATAAAACAGACGAACTGCTTCTTTCCGCACTTTTTTTCTTCTCTGTGGTGTTGGGAAGATGAAGTGCTCTTCTGTGTACCGTTTAGTGAACTAAACCTAAAATGGCTCATTATTTTCTATCCTACAGATTAACTCTGCATTGTCCAAAACATCCCA